TTCTTCTCCTCTTGTTAATTATGCAGATGACATCACATTCGGATTGTCCAAACCTAACTCATCGTTTCAGACCACTCTACAAGGTGACATGCCAGAAGTGGTGGAGTAGTCTCAACAAAGGAGCGCCCGTAAAATTATCAAAGTAATTTTTCCCCTTCGGAAAATTAAAAATTATGATGGATTGTCAAATACCGTTTATCTATCTCAGATGCACCGATGGATAGACAACTGTCTGTCAAATACATTGGTGTTTGTTTCAACTATAACGTCACCTAGTCTGACCGCGTTATTAGCGTTTTTCTGAAGGCCAGGAGCCTTGTGTTTCATTTCTTACCTCAAATTACTTTCTATCTTTTCTTTCTAAAAAGTTATTTTCAAATTAACTCCGTGGCTACGTGATGGAATTTGTCCCTTTGTTTCCATGTACTAAACGATAGTTGACTGAAATCGACGACAAACATAACAGAAAAAGATGACTATTTGGGTGATTGAAACACAACATCTGATTGGTGGTTATTGTGCTCCCGAACAACTGATTCACGCAATCGCATCAGCATAGTGTGTTCACTATTCGTTGTTGACACAGACCAAGAGAGCAACCGAATAGCATCTGGACTGAATCAATAACGGACTGTGACAGTCATCTGCGTGAGGGGGAGTGAGATGTCACAAACTGGGTTTTATGTCCGCAGTTACACAATTTGGCTACAAAATTAGTGTTTGCTAAGGCTTATCCCTCTTCCTCCCTCTCTTTTCGCATTAGGTAAGAAGCTAAGATAATGAATGCAGATTCCCTCTTCACCTGTGGGCGTAAAACCCAAATCGCCCGGCTTTCGATCAGTTTTTAGGCATGTTTGCATTCCTCTCATTCTTCGGTAGTTTCAAGTTAGTCTGTAGTTCGTCCAGGCAACGGACCTTTGCGCGTGAAGGCTGTTTCTGGCACGGAGAGGATTGGGTGGTGGTAGATGCAGGTGGACAAGAAGACAGCGGGGGAAGGGGGGTCAAGTTAACCGGGAAGAAATGACCACTCAGCCAGAAAATCATTTTGTCTGTATGCAAAAATGGCTCTTGGTGGAAAACAATGCATTTGATATGAATGATACGTTCAAACTTATCGTCAATGGATCCGGTAATATGGTCTAAATGATCAATCAGCCAGCTCACTTGTTAACCATGAAGTTAATTAGTTGATGGTAGTGTGGCGGCATGTAAGTTTGTCAAAGCCCAGCGATCGTTAACAGTGAAATTGAACTTACCTGATCTATTTTCCCAATCAACCATCCCTCGATTGTGAAATAAGGAACGAATGGGCTATTGTTTAGAAGTAAAGCAACTGTAGTTAATACACGGAAAAATGTAGACAGCAGGTCATCAGTGGTTTGGGGGTGAAATCCTACTTCTATGATTGAATGAAAATAAGTCAAGTTGAGAATGTTTGTGACCGACCAATCTTCACCCCCACACAAACGCGAACGCAGTAAACTGGAGCCCGGCCCACTTCAGATATCACTTCTCGGCAGTAACTGAACTGTTGTTTCCCATCATTCAAGTTGCTCCAATCGCTAAAACGCGTTTTGGAGTGTTTTTCACATCACTCTAAGAGTGTTGGGTGAATGTGAAGTCCGTGGATAATCGAGGTCGGTATTAGTCATAGCACGATTAAGCCATCCAAAGGTGTGAGTGGAAGTAGTCAACAAACAAAAATTTGGTAACATTTTCCTCTGAGGAAATATGAATTGAGAAATCAATGACTACACTCACAGCTACTTGTGAGTAGTGATGAAGAGTAAATAATGTAATCGACTTTAAGCATTATCATAAATTTTTACAGTCGAACAAACACTGGAGTTTCGCTCTATTTGGCATTCGACGGCGCTTGTTTATAGACCAATTCATTGTTTTCAAACCCCAGATTCCTTGCAGGTAATGTATGTGTGTGGTACAACATTGTCACACAACTTAAACTGTGACTGACCAGAATATTTTTGCACTAATTTTCATGTATGCTTCATCTATAATTGTAGTTTACCAGTTTTGCGCTCCATGGTTTTGCCGATAGACAAGGCATATTGGTAGTTGCAGTTTCGGTGAGCTCTAATGAAGGTCGAACTTGATTTGGAAGCATTGCTATTGTTTAGGTGACTGGATGAATCGACAGTTGTGCGATGTGAAGACTATTCAGTCAGAATCGATACTGATAATGGATTACTCTAGTAATAGCCAGCTACATTTGGTGATATCTCTTTCGCTGCGGAACAGCAAATATAATACGCAAAATATAACCCCTTAGACAAATACACTTTTAAAAATCCTAACTGAATTTTTCTGCACACGATTTGAACAGTGTCATAGTAATAGATGAATGATAACATACGTATTTTGCTACATGGTCAGCCTTTTCCGCTTGGAAAGAGGCATGTGCAGTCCTTTCATTTCTTTCCTTCCACGTCTAGTACACCTATTGATAAGAGCGAGATTCACACTTGTTTAACATACGGTCCAAGATCCGTGAACCTAACCAACTGCGTCTAGTTAACAGCTACATGACAAAGAACAACAACAAGTCAACGAATGGAACTAAAACGTTAAAAAACACTGAATAGATGTTTCCACTTTTTTAGATCTCACCAGTATTGTGAATTCACCGAAAAAACTGAGAATCTAACCCCGGATCAGCAAGGTAAGATGCTTGGACCAAGCTTGTAAAGTTGGGATGTGCTATATCGCGTAAAGGAGAACAAGAAAAAAGCTGTTTCGTTAGCTGCGTGCTAGTCAAGTGAGTAGTATACTTGCGTTGCACTTGTGAGGTCCCGGGTTAGCGACTCTTCTTTGGGTCTTTGAATTAGAACTGTACATTGGTTTTGGGATTTTCATATAATAATTTCTCTACTCTGTCTAAGAGAGTTTATAATGCTGTCGAATTCCATCTTGAACTTCTCATTTGAAATCTGCGATGCGTATCATATTCTCGAAACAATTGTATTGAGCTATATCAACTGGTTATACTGCTGCACCCATGGCTGTTCAAAGAAGCCTTACATTTTCCAAATTTGCAACGATTCAACCAATTAACCCGAAATTTCACAATAAATAGATATGTTTGTCGTTTTTTCTGCCCTGATTATAAATAGATAAAAGATGTTTTGAAGACAGAAATTTGGGATGTGGTCATTCAACTTTCAGTTAGCGGTTTAAAGCTTAACGGTATTTGCTAGATGGAGCGAATTTTGCTTTGGACTGCTAGTACTCTCTAAATGGTTCTATCTTTTATATCCACAAGTCTGACAGATATGCTACATCAAGATTGGATTAACCTAATTCTCTCTGTTGCTATTAGCAGTAAATTTGCCTGAAGTATCGTCATTAATCAGCTAACGTGTTTTTAGAAGATACGTTCACTGGAGATGCTCAATGAAGACCACCACCATTTGAAGCAGTGACTTCTCAATATTTCTCGCCATTCGAGCGGCGTACACAAACAACCTTTAATAAAGCCATACTGCATTGACTCTTGTGAGGGCTATCGGAAAACTGCCACGCACTGTTGATTGATATACACAACGAACTCAATCGCACAAGGACGAAAGCAAGTGACGTCCAGTGTCGCTATTTAACTAGAAGACCCAAAAAAGCTCAAACGTATCGCGAAATCGCACAGGCTTTTTCGATTTAAAAAAATATGATGATGTGGAAAGCATAATTTATGTGAAGATTGTTTGAAGAAGTCAAAACAGCTCGCACGATCAAACAGGAATCACTCGGAGTAAAAGGGACCCTTTTTGAATTCCTGTACTCTAATTTGTGCATTTTGGTCTGCCTCATTCAGTAACGAGAAAAACCACACATTACTGCGATTATGTATGTATAAGGGATCTAATCCAAGAAGTATTTATGGTTTATAAACCTGAACCTCACTGAAAAAATGGAATGCTGTGCACAACATGTTTACTTCTTTGAAGAACGATTATAAATGTATGGCCGATCAAACTCTTTTAAGATTCCACTCCCCAGAAATAAAAATAACCATGAAAAAAGCACTATATCGTATGCGTTAAATGGATTACGCTACAAGCATCTATTATATTGCTCTGAAGTATCCCTTCATGTTTCCACTATTTATGAGAATACAACGCTTACCATGAAACAACTGAATCATATTGGAAGTTGTGCTCTCTGTGCTCTCTCCCTCCCCGCTTCGTTAGCCATACGGACTTCCTGTGACTGGTAATGAGACCTTACAACTGGCCCATATAGAGGCAATGCGCAACTTCTTCAGTCTGTACAACGCTCAGACACAGCAACTGGACGAAGACGCTGCAAAGGTGGGTGAGGAATGGGATCAGAGTCGAACGGAAGTAGAACTACTGGAAGAACAATTACGTCAGTTGAATCGATGCCAAGACGAATTTGTCTCCAAGTGAGTATAGACTGATAACAGGGTTGATATATATCATGTGGAAGAACCTTACATTTTTCTGATTTTTGATTCAGTATTAATAATCTTATTAACATGCATCAATCATACTGCACTTGAATCAATCTTGCAGTTACCCAGACTGGCGAGAATATCTCAGTTGGTTATTAGTTGACATGTACTGTTAGATTACCCTAAAACGTGGCTGACGATACGAGCTTGCAAAGCAGTAGATGAGTGCATGCGAGGAACAGTTTGATTAAAGCCAAACCTGGCATTGTGATTGATCCACAAAGCTACACCTGTAGCAATCACGAAGATAAATACTTTTAAGATGTCTCATGTAGGTGTGGGAAGTGGACAGTTTGTCAGAAGTTCGGTTCATATGTGATAGTTTTCTTTTTTCATTTTTTTATTTATTCATTTATTTTAATTCGTTTCACTGAGGGTACAATTTCCAGGAATGGGAAAGCGGCCAATCAAAGGGCTGCCATACAACACATAGCGGGGAAAGTCAGGCGGTGATAGTGAGAGTCGAACACACGTCCTCCGGGATGATAATGGTGACATTACCATCGGCCACCATCACCGATTCTGTAGGGATAAACCATATGGCAGGTAGAACACGGGAAAATAACCACCACCCATTTTCTCAAAGTTTATTGGTCCCTGGCAGTACTTTGGTACGCATTTCCAACGTCCCAAACGTATGAGGTCACAGCACGACTGAGGTTTTGATCAAGTAACATGACTTGATACCCTGGTATGAGTTACGCGAAATTTCCCTCGGGACTAGAAAGATAAATAGGAAAACATCTTCATATTCGGATGAAAAATATCACTTCATAGATCAAAAGCAATGGTTCACAGATCTGAATATTTTTTTGAAGGGTAAATAAAAAATAGTATCGTGCTCATCACGCTAAGGTCAAGAGTGGCACCTGAGTATGCTATTAAATGTTTTTTAATTTTAATTTTACTTCCCTTTGTTGAATGTGTAAAGATAGAATTTTCAGGAAGGGAAAAGCGGCCAATCAGATGGCTGTCATTCAACACACAATGGGGCAAGTCAGGCGGTGATGGTGGGTTTCGAACTCAAATTCCCGGGGTGATAATTTGGTGAACTTACCACCGGGCCACTACCGCCCACTTCCACTTCCACCTTTTATTCCACTATTTTTTTCAAATATAGGATTATTTCAGTGTGTTTGCGCGAACAATAAGAGTGTTTAGAGAAAAACCAAAATCCGATTCAGAGCATTTCGGAAGGTCAGACCATGAAATGGCATCGATTTGAAATTTCGGTGCAGGTTTGCAGACAAAGTATTGTTCGGATATTACCCAATTTGCGCACTGCATTTGATACACGCATAATTTTATTTTTATTCGATCTTGATATAATTATTCAGATCTGTGATTAAGGAAGTAATATTTTTCATCAAAACATGAAAATATCCCATCTATGCTTTATTATTCGAGTGGAAGATTTTCACGTGACTTACATATTGGAATGTGAGGTCACTTCGTTGGGTCAGAACTTCAAACATGCTGTGATCTCATGAGTTAGGGTGGTAGTGGCCGGTGACCACTAAATGAAAGAAAAACCGGTGTAAGGGAAATTTAAGTGCATTATTGATTTTCGGATTTCCCACAAAACCTCATTATTGGACAGAATGAATTCACTTTCGTTCTTGTGGTTTGATGCTTGACTTTTGCGACATTATTGTGATATAATGGAATGATAATAGCATTTGAATGTGGGTCATTGATGGGTAATAAAATGAAATGAAACAAAAGCCATGTCAATTTTTCGTATATCGAACAACTTGGTTACTATTACCCGGTTATCACATGAGTTTTGATGCAATCGGATTTTCGTTTGTTCTTCGCGGACGAAGAAAAGTTGATTCCTGCAGGTTACCTTTGACTAATTTTAATTGTCGCGATCCTTTTTACCTAAACCATTATTCGTTCGAAATGACTCAGGGAATTACATGTACTCCTCGAGTCTCGAGGAGCCGAGACACCAGAATTGGAACTTTCCTACTCCGTTGGTGACGTTTCATGGACTCCCGCGTACGACATACGGCTCTCTAGTGCGGCTGCCACACTTCAAGTAAGCATCTTCACTTTCTGTGCTATTGAATTTTGACAATGAATACATTTTGCTCTCGGATAAAGTCGAACTATGGGAATGTTTTAAATGGTCAAAGGATAGCACCATTTTAACTTATCTGTAGGTTATCTGTTGGACAAGAACTCAAATCTTAAGTCTCTCCTAATTTAATGATTTATAATAGATCTATGTACGTTTACTACGCATGACAAATTAGAGCAAGAGCGTTGTACTTTCCTTTTCCCAATGGTCGGCAATCAAACTGTAGATCCATGGGCAAGTTTTGATCAAGAGTTCTTGATAAGGTGTGAAACGGTAATAGTTGCGATGGGAATAGTCGTACGATTACTAACAATGAGCATTGGTAGGTTCTTCCGGTTTTGTCAGGACTCATTAGTAGTACGTACCATTTTATGTACCCACCAGGACTCGAATCACGAACATTCGACCATTGAGTTAAGTGATTGACCACAAAAACACAGAAAACGCATGCTGAAGAACCATAAAAATTATTGACATCGGAGAAAATTTCAACAAAATAGTGTAAGAATAAGGTTATTCGGTAATCGTACCTAATGCTTACTTCAATTACAAATAGTTCTTTGAGAAATGCCAGCAAAAAGTAAGTATAATTTGATTTTGATGATAGCAAACACATTTACCAACGGCTACTGATTATTGCATGAATGCTAATAGCAATAGTACATTTGAATCTGCCAGTCCATGATGTTTCAGTGAAGACAGCACACGACCCCAAAACTCAAGGNAACTTCTGAACTGTGATGAGCGCAGTTCACTGATCCGGGGCGGTCTGACTGTAACACTGACAAAAGGATTTACATGGTCAACAGTTGACTAATGCAGATAAATGAAATAGTGGGCCCGTCAATACTCGCGAAACCGACAGCATAACCGACGAGTAACGTGCGATCTGAAATAGATGGGTTATAGTCTAATTTGAATTCTCACTACAAAAAGCAGCAAAATGAGCACCCACGCTATCTACATTCACCTGATGTTCTGCCTGGTCCATCTGGACGCCGGTATCTATCCGCGAGACATGTCGATTATGAATGCGTTCAGGAACGACATCTGTGAGTGTAAGACATCGAAGTCAAGTCTTCCCGCTCAAGGTACCAAACACTTGACCGTAAAAAGCATAATAATAAATGTGAACAAGTAACTTGTGAGCTGACTGAATCAAAACTGTTAAGAAGACAATCACAGAGATTGGTTTTGTTTATTAGGGAGATTATGCCCGTGTACCATTGTAACACACGGTCGTCATGTTCAGTATCAACGTGATTACCTTGCTCGTTTTCCTCGTGGCGGATCGTTTGGCTCATCGCATCGCGTATATTGTCCGATTGCATTGTATGTATCAGCTGACTAGGCCAGGCGAGGTGATTCAAACACGAAGTCACTCATTCACACGCACATACACACACAGATACACAACCACACACACCTTAGTTGACTGTTGTTCAGCAAGCATATCGCTTTTCTGCCCCTCCAGCTAAATCCATCGACGGAGTGTGTACCTTAGTGTCAGACGATTTGTCTGACATTTTGATCTCCATCGAAAAGAAAACCTAGCAGCTGAATCAACAAAGTGTGTTCATCAACCTGATCGTCACAGACGCATCGAACTTTGCTCCCGTTCCCTTGGGATGGACGCTGTGCAATCTCATTAGACGGAAAGGACTTGAACAGGTCTTACGCTTTTCCCGGGACTTAGCGGAGAGATATGAGTATGCAGCACAAACACGCACTTACACACAGAGAATAGACCTGAATTTCTGTGTTTCGTACTGTTAGCTTACTGACTGTCTGTGAGAAGACAGAGGCTCAGATAACTCAACTCGCCACGCCTAATCATACCTCCTAGCTTTTATCTTCACTCTCCACCACGAATGCGTGGGCGAGCCGTTTTCCCGGTTTTATTGGAGCGAAGTATCTTGTGGCTTAGTTAGCGGTTTACAAATTGTTGAACCAGTCTCATGGGAACTTGTCCGCTGAAGGGTCGTTGAGTGGGCACGAGGGAGGTGAAACAACTAATGAGGTTTTCCACCTCGTTACATATGCAACCCTGGATGAATTTCGTTGACAGTCGCCTCTAGTTCGAGTGAAGATTGTGCATTGCACGAATATTTGGTTGTGACCGAGAGGGAGAGGAAGATATGTGATTCATGTGATATGGTGTTTACTCTCAAAGCTCTGGATCGAGATTTCGAGTGTAGATGATCTGAGACCAAGTAAGGCAAATTGAACGTTTTTTTATCATAATTTTCGTTCATGCTTTCTTAAATCAAATAACATTTTGACTTATTTCCGGAACCGTTGGTTGGATTAAAGACTATTCGGCTTGAAAAAGGTAAAAGAGGTTGGAGCGATGAATGTTTGGAGTGCCGATCACTGGTGGAAATTCAGATCTTATCACACGGTTGATTGATTGACTCAATATTCTCTAGGTTCATTTGATACGTTTCCTGTTCACACTGAGACAGGATAGTTTAAGTGTATAAAAATAACTAATCTCTCAACATGTCTTTTAACTTGTTTTTGTCAGTTTGTCAGAAAAATAGTCTATCTAGAATTATGTTCATTAGTGATAGCTTAAACTTAAGACTCACATACTAGTATAAAAGTTTCGTTGTGCTTGCCACAGTGCTATTGAAATATACGTGGAATATAAAAATATCCAGACAATGGATGAGAGTAATTTGATGGAAGCGACATGAATCTTTCAATTATTAAAATATTTTTTGGAATTATAACATAAGTTTATTGATTAGTTCTACCGTAAATAAGCCAATTAACCTCTTAGTTTAAATTTGAAAATGTTTGTCATCTATATTTTTCAACGTATTTCACCCAAATGTGGAACGTGAAGCCGTGTATAGGTCATTACATAACAGTGGTCATGTAGTCGAGTTCTGACCAAATTTCCGCAGAGCTACCCAGAGATAAACGCTTTACAATTAAACAACATACGTGTGAGAGAATAGACGAAATCACGATGTGATAAACTTCACAACAAATGACAAGAGATCAACGATGTTTATCGAAATGGAACTCGAACAGAATACACAATGCATCTTGAACGATTAGTTTTCTACCACCAAGTAGACAATGATAGCAGTTGTTTCATTTTCCATCGGTTTACCGCGAGCGACCCGAAAGCGCTCAGCTGTTGCACAAAGTCATCCGAGGTTAACTTATTTACTCCCTTCCATTGAGTACGAGAAGCGGGTAGCCAATTAGGGTAATGGTTCGTTTTTTAGTGTAGCTTAGGGTAAATAAAAATTGTGCAGTGATTGGAGGAGCTAGTTTAGGAGCATGAAACAAATGAGGACTGTTCATATATATGTCATTGAGATAAGCGTTAATTCAAGTGGGAAAATCTATAAAGTTCAGTAAACCGAGGTTAGTTAGAAAGGAAGTATCAAGGCGATTAAAGTCGTTAGTTGCAGTGAACACAGTGTACAATACAGTATAAAGTGATAGAACCCAAAACACGATTGTATTTCACGCCAAAATGTGTTTCATTATCTGCGACATACATGCATGACATCATTACCAAGCTCGCACGTAAGGCGATAAACATTTCACTAAGGAAACTGGAGCGTGTGTGTGTGTGTAACTTCCTTCGGCGGTGACAGGTCAATAGCTTATAGCATCTGGGGTCGCTCCGGTTACATGAAAGTTAGTGGACGGTGATGAAAGCGGAACATCTGTAAATTGGTTATTAAGTATCTGAAAAGTGTGCCACACTAGAGCTGTGGCCGATCTCAATCCCTCCCCGCCCTGAGTCACGTCCGCTGACTGCCGCCATGTGATCCAAATTACATAGTAGTAACCATAGGTTTACTTGAATCGGACAATTAGTATGGCTGATGTGTGGTGATTCGGATCTACGAGATCACGCCTGCCCTGGAGCAGCGCGGTACAGTTTC